CCGAAGGTCGACAAGCCGCGCATCACGCTGTCCACGTTCACAGGTAGCGATCCGGACGCATGGCTCCACAGGGCAGTCCAATATTTTGAGCTTAATGAAACCAACGGCCCCGACCGTGTGAGATACGCAGCTTATTATCTTGATGGTGAGGCCAACGTATGGTGGCAATGGCTCACAAGGATCTATCGCAAGCGACAACAAATTATTACTTGGGATATTTTTGAGAAAGAGTTGCTTACGCGATTTGGTACATCCGATTATCATAACTACAATGAGGCTCTTACGCGCATACGGCAAACAGGAAGCCTACGCGAATATATTAAGGAGTTCGAACGATTAGCTTGCCGCGTGCGCGATTGGCCGGAAGATGCCCTGGTTGGCGCGTTCATCGGCGGGTTGAAATTTGACCTGGCCGCTGAAGTGCGACTCGAGAGGCCCGACACCATGCACGAAGCGATGGAAGTGGCACGACGTCGAGAAGATCACCTGGTCGCCATGCGGAGGGGACGGGCGGACGTGCGATTCACGGATACGCGTCGCACGGGACCTAACCCAGCCACGGCCAGTACACGGCCGAACATTAATACTCGGCCAGTGGGGTCGATAGTAAGGCGGCTGTCTCCCGAGGAGGTCAAGCGGCGACGTGAGAAGGGTCTTTGTTTTAAGTGCGAGGAGAAGTTCACTACGGGGCATCAGTGCAAGCAAGCCTTTGTCATTGAGGTAGCCATCCCGGATGACAAGGAGGATGAGGTCGAGGAGGGACCGCCTCAGGAGGACGGGATTGAGGTCTTTAGTGAGGAGCCCAAAATTTCGATGCATGCCATGGCAGGGATCAGAGGGCCCAGGACAATGCGATTACCCGCATGGGTCAAAGATCGGAGAGTAATGGTGCTCGTAGACAATGGTTCCTCACATAATTTCATCAATGCTGACTTATCGCAAAAGTTGAGATTGCCAACCACAAAAATCGAGCCCTTTGAGGTACGAGTAGCCAATGGAGAGAGGTTGCAATGCTCTGAGTCTTTTCGGAAGGTGCCAATAAAGTTCCAAGGAGTCACGGTAAAAGCTGATCTTTATGCTTTACCACTAGTTGGACCAGATGTCGTGCTGGGAGTCCAGTGGCTCGAAGGATTAGGCAAGGTGACGACCGACTATCGAACTGGAGTTATGGAGTTCAACTCCGAAGGTCGTCTAGTCACCCTAAGTGCCGGCACCGATAAAGAAACCAAGGAAGTAGGGCTGAAAAATATTGAAAGAGTTTGGCGAGGTGGAGGCCAAATTTTTGCAGTAATAGTCGAGGACGTGGGAGCACACTCGAACAAGGACGCACAACAACAAGGAGAAGTGCGTGAGCTCCTCGAAGAGTTTGAAGGAGTTCTGGGCGAGCCCAAAGGACTACCACCGCACCGAGAGTTCGATCATCGCATACCCTTGGTCAATGAACAGCATGCCATTCATGTCCACCCCTATAGGTATGCCCACTTTCAGAAAACTGAGATCGAACGGCAGGTTGCCGAGATGCTTGAATCAGGACTCACACAGCATAGCAAGAGTCCGTTTTCTTCCCCAGTCCTGTTAGCCCAAAAGAAAGACGGCACGTGGAGATTCTGTACTGATTACCGAGCCCTAAACGCTGCAACCATCAAAGACCGGTTTCCTATTCCAAGTGTTGACGACATGCTTGATGAGTTAGCAGGGTCGCGATACTTCTCTAAACTTGATCTACGAGCTGGATATCATCAGATTCGACTCCACAAAGCCGACATTCCTAAGACGGCCTTTCGTACGCACCAGGGGCACTATGAGTATCTGGTTATGCCGTTCGGCTTATGCAACGCCCCATCCACTTTCCAGTTCGCCATGAACTCTATTTTCAAGGAGTATCTGCGTAAGTTCGTTCTGGTATTCTTTGACGATATCCTGATATATTCAAAGTCATGGGATGAACACCTTGGGCATCTAAGGATAGTTCTCGAAATTCTGGAGGCCAACTCATTCCACATCAAATCGTCTAAGTGTTCATTCGGGCAGGAGATGGTTGAATATCTTGGACACTTCATATCACATGACGGTGTGAAGGTCGACCCACGAAAAATTGAAGCTATGGTCGACTGGCCTAAGCCAACTAGTCTCACACAGTTGAGAGGATTTTTGGGGCTTACAGGTTACTACCGGAAGTTTGTAAAGGATTATGGAACCATCGCTAAGCCATTGACAGCAATGACCAAGAAGGGTGGGTTCACATGGACCGAAGCTAGCGAGGAGGCGTTTGGAAACTTAAAAGAAGCTATGACGACAACGCCGGTACTCGCCATGCCCAGATTTGATGTTTTGTTCGAGGTACACACCGATGCGAGTGACATCGGAATTGGGGCTGTGCTAGTGCAAGAAGGGCGACCCCTAGCCTATCTCAGCAAAGCACTGGGCACTACTCGGTTAGGTTTGTCGGTGTACGTGAAAGAGATGCTAGCAGTTGTCGAGGCTGTCCGGTGCTGGAGACCTTATCTACTAGGACGACGATTTCAGATTGTTACCGACCAGCAGCCGCTTAAGCACCTGTTGGAGCAAAGACTAGTTACCCCCGAGCAGCAGAAGTTCGTATCTAAACTCATGGGGTTTGACTTCGAGATAATTTATCGACCGGGTCGGCAGAACGCAGTGGCCGACGCGCTATCCTGACGAACGGACGTGGCCGAGTTAAGTGGGATCACTGGACCTACTTGGGCCATTTGGGAGGAGATCCGGAAGGTGCAAGTAGAGGATACCCATTGCCAGGAGCTGCGCCAATCGATAGAAGCAGGTAAGACGACTGCTATCGACTACGAGCTGCATAATGATCTACTTCTACACCGAGGTCGAGTCTATGTCCCCGACAGTGGGCAGTTGCGCGAGCAGATCTTGCAGCACTTCCATGACTCTAAAGTTGGAGGTCATTCGGGCATCTACCGCACATGGATAAGAATAGCCAACACCTTCTTCTGGCCCGGGCAACAGAGTACCGTTCGTGATTACATAGCTTGATGCGATGATTGCCAACGCACTAAGTCTGATTCGCGACGGCCAAGTGGGCTATTGCAACCACTA